AACCCTTCTGCTGGTTACACATCCTAGTGAGCTTCTGCTCCAGGGATCCAGACCACAATTATGTACTAAGAAATGCATTAGTTCTGCGCTCAAGAGAAAAAGTAATGGAAAGGTTCAGTATTTTGCCCAGCTCTAAGTAAACAAAATTCCATTTCAGCCCCAGACAACCTCTGGTGTGTAGGCCAAAACCTCATGTGAATCAAGGTAACAGAGCCAGAGGAGAAGCACAAACTTCAAAGAGGTTCAGGGCTTTCCACTTCAAGCATCCTCAGCTATTCTGCAGTTAAAGTCACTTTACCCAACCATTTCTCCTCTATCCAGTTATGGAGAACAATCCAAGGAAGACAGATCCATCCACAGTTTAGAACTGCCACCTTTAAATAAGGGTCTATTTCAAAAATGATCGCTTGAAGAAAAGGCCATAAGAAAAACTCAGCCCTCCTCATTTCTCACCTTCTCAAGCAGCAGCATCCATTGCACTCTGAAACATAATCCTGTGAAGGATAAACCCACTCACACGTTTCTTTCATTCATCTTTACCACCAACACAGAAGCATCACCGGTCACCAGCTTAATAAAACGGCTCATCTAACCCCTGCCAGCCCAGTGCATTAAAAAGTAGGGGATGTAAGACAATAAAAAAAAAAAAAGATTCGTGTTAGATAGAACAAAAAGGCATCTTATTAAGTGCAGAACTCAATATATATGAAAAGCAATCGTAGGCCAAAGGAAAAAGGGGAGCAGAAAAATAAAATGGTCCAATGAATCGATAGAAAACATGCTCCTAATGGACTTTTTTTTCTTTTAGTCTCACTTTTGAGGAAAGAATTACAGGTCATGTTACTGAAAGGCTCAACTCAAAAGCACAACTTTGAAACAGTGGCTTAATTGTATGTGTGTGAGTGCAAGGAATGCCTCTTCACATCCTGTGCATGGCTTAGAGGCAAGAGAATAAAAAGCAAGTGATAAAAGAAATAAATCCAAAAAATGAACAGTGGACTCCAAAAGGTAAATCCCTAATTTGATTAGCAAGGTATCAGCAGCCAAAAAATACCTATTTTACTATTATTTTCTAACAAAATAAATCACTAAATCACTGGGCAAACAGAGCTCTGTCTATCCAAACCTCCTCAGACGTCATTTCGAGACCTTTCAGAGGAGTGGTAAAACTAAACCAGAAGAATTTGCAGTGTGAGCCGATTAGAAAAACCCACACAGCATTTGCCCAAAAATCCTGAGGGCTTCTGAGGCAGAAATGCCCATGTCTGCACCCGACCTGAGGACTCCCAGCAGGGAGAAGCTGTGTGCTGATAACCCAACCTCATGCAGGCATCCCGCTGCAGTCTTTCTTGTAGTTTTCTGTTCAGTTTCTTCAAACATGAAAGACTGCCACATTATACTCTGAAGGCCTCTGACAGCGCTAAAGCAATTTTCTACATAAATCATTGTAATGCTAACGCTGCAGTTTACAGTCTCATCTTTAAAAGAAAGCCTTCCACTATTTACTGCCTCGGTAAGTGGAGAGAAGAAAAGTTAAGCTCTGACGACTGCTCTGTCTGGTGGCATAATGAACGGAAAATTTATTCCTTGGCCCAATTCTAGCAAAACTTAATACACTCGTGAAAGCCATGTAAATAGTTTGTCCTCGGAGAACTGAGAGTATAAAAATACAGTTAGCACGCTGAGCTACACGTATGCTCTGATTGCAAAGCAGGCCTGTTGAAAGTGCCCCTAACGCTGAAGTGAAACTGAACAACCGGTCAGTGCAAATCCTTCCATATATTTTCATTCCATATCCTTTGTTCAGATTTTTCTCAAAGCAAATAGGGGAAAAAAGGACAACGTGTTGTAGTTTTCATGCACGAGCATCGTTTCTAAGCAAAGTGAGGAAGATCACCCAGGCTGGGCTCACCATCTGGCTACGTGCATCTTATTAAATCAGTGTTAATGCGTGATGGACGATGCAGCAGAGGGAGCACAGCCCCTGCCCAGCTCCCAGCACCGCAACCGGCGGCTGCCACCGTGTGGATGCTGCCCAGGGACAGCAGGAGTGCAGAGCCAGGAGGAAGAGTTCCCAGGGTACGCTCAGAGCTGGGGAAAGCTGCATCAGAGGACACGACAAGCCCTGCTCTGGAAGGCAGCAACAGCTTCATGCTTCACCAAAACACTTCTAGGTAACACAGCGTGCCCAGGGTTGTTTATGAGCTTTCACTAGCCCTCAAGAAGCCCAGGCATTCATAAATATGCTTGTGGCAAGTGGCTCAGGAGACTGCTGCTCAGCTTTGGGGGTTTTCAGTCGGCTTATATACAGCCTTTAATTACACTTTTCATCCCATTCCCATAAATCCGGTTTTATTTCCCTTCTAAACAAACAAACGTTGCTGATAAGGAACATGTTTCCATTAACGTCCTTTGCACGCAGAGCTAATATATCTTAACACCTCTCTGTTAAAGAGAGCAGAGATCTCCAAGTCCAGCATATGAACTGCTGTGGAATTAAAGCAATGCAAACCAGACACCTTTGTATTCTGCTGGTTCATACCATCATTTTATTAAAAAAAACTATTAGCTAAACTGCACACAAGAGAACTGAACTTCAGGTCAGTCTCATGTTCCACTTCTAAATATATTTGACATATCCCTTAAAAGCACCATCAGGTTGCTTTTTGGTTGTTTCTCCACTTTTTGGTTGTTGGGTTTCTTGTTTGCTTGTTTGGGGGGGAAGGGGAGTGAATTGATGAGGATTACTTACTAATAAGTCATATTTGCTTTTTATTTAAATGCATTTGTGTCAACAGCAGCTAAGCAGCAAGACTTCTCCTTTCATCCTTTATTTCATTGATGTTTCCAGCAGCACATCCAGAAATAAGTTTGGGAATCAGTACAACAGAGGTCCAGATAAACAGTAAAACTTCGCACAGCATTTCACTCAGTAAGAAACCTTCTTATAGCACCCTGGTAATTAATTTGGCCCAATCATGACTACTTACAAGCTTCTATCATCGTATGTTCTCCCCTAGACAGATTAGTTTTGGTTCACATTAGCTCAGTTAATAGTTTAAGAGTCTCTAAACTTGAGACTACTAATTTGGCTAAAGAACAGTGGTGAACGACTGAACACGTTGGCCAGCAAATATTACATATAAACTCTTGATTAACCAGTTCAAACTTTGAAGGAATTGTTTAGAGCCAGAAGCCAACTGGAGTTGCAGTGGCAGCACATTTGGCAGCATTGCTTTACCAAGGCACTTAAGGACACACTCAAACACGAACTGTCTTAACTCAGCCCACACACTGAAACCCCTAAACATTTCTTAAATGCTTTGATTAAAAATGGCACAAGCAAGGGAGAAACATGAAGGTGGAAGCCATACTTCTGGGGGGGTTAAATGTGTTGGAAATTAGGTAAGTACAGATTCTATCATTAGCTCAGACGGAGGACCCACATTATCTTCATTTTTAACAGCAATGAAGTACTATTCAAAAGTATATTTCACCCAAGAATTATAATACCTTCAAAACCGGAGTGAGATTTACTGCCCTTCCAGTATTTTCTAACCAAATACCACAAAAATGCTGTTCTTGCAGAATGTCAAGGAGAAGAAAGGGCAAAGGAGAAAAATCCAATCCATGCTCAAGTTGGTAGCTGAGGAAGTTTGTCTGTGTTGCAGTGAGATTCCCATCTGCATTTCATTGCAGCTAGCATGAACCCAATCAGTGCAGGTTAAATACACGTCAGATCAGTGATTATTGTGTTCTGACCTCTGTGACTAAGTCAGACATTATACATTCCTGCTACATATTGCAGTAGTTAAGGGATCAGTGCTGCTTTAAAAAAATATGTATTTTACACTACACATGCCTTGATTCCTTCACAGAACATTTCTTGTAGCCTTTCAAGAAATACCCAAGCTGTTCTGTCACTGTCTGGATGGCTCTGTCATACAGCATTAGACCAAGGCTCATAGTCCAACTTCAATTCATCATGCCATTGTAGAATTTCTTTCAAGACTCCAGGTATGGCCTCTGGAACTCACACTCCCTAACTATAAATGATGATACTACTTCCACAACTGCATTTAAAATTTGTGAAGGTATTGCATTCTGTATGCCACACAGAAAAAAAAATCCCAATTAACATGTTGCATCATCTTTTCCAACACCACCAACAGCTCTAACCAAGATACCACAGACTAATTAAATCCCCCAGGGAATGCTTCCACAGCTGCTGAAGTCAGTTTAAAGTACGGCCTGCTGGCAGGTCCCAGCTTCTCCCTATTCTGTGTGCTTTCTCAGGCTTGATCCCTAAGGGAGCTGGTTCATGAGATGAAACTCGAAGAAACTGATTCTCTTGAAAGACATTTCACCAGCTTTTATGTTCAAACAGGTCCATTGCAGGCTCAGACCTTATTGGTACAGAAGACATCAGCCTCCCATACAGCAAAGGGTGCAGAGTTGTTGTTGGCACGAAAGGAATTATTGTGTTGACGTTACCATAACCACCCCCTCACTAGTTTAAGCACAGCAAAAAGAGCTTCCAACGCTTAGCAGAGGTCAAGTAATCGCAGTCACAAACAACTCAGCTATTTAATATTCGCCATTATGACTGGCTCCACAAACAAGATTTAATAACACCACAGATTCCTGAAGTTACCAACATCAGGAAAAATGTCTTAAAGTGCTAGATCTCCATTATTTTTTAATGCAACTTTACCATGAAGGGGACCGAGCCTACAGCAGCCTTCATGTCTTACCACAAGGGCTTCTCAAAGATTTTGCACTTGGTTTTGATCTATATCACCTGGAAGAAAAGGTACTACTGGATACTCAAGCGCTTTCACAGATCAATGATAACCACACACTCATCACAGAACTATTTTGGTGAAGCCAAAGCATTTACACACCGTATTAAACAAGTTATGATCTGTACAAGTGAGTAACTCTGCCTCAGCAGCCTGTATCACCATGAAATGCACTGCTAGAGCCACCATATTTCTCACCTGGAGACTATGCTGGAGCCATTGTAGAGGTCACTAGCGTAGGACAGCGTTGCCAGGGGTCGGACAGAATTGTAGCGTGTGAACTTGGACAGACACTCCTGAAATTCATCCAGCTGGCTTGTGGTTCTGCTGTCATCTAGGGAGAGGTAGGAGAGTTGCAGAGGGTGAAAAATGAATAAGGAAGTAAATAAACAACGGCAAACATGATGCATGTCTTCATGTGATAACACCTCTGCTTGTTATCTGGGGAGGATTCTTGGTCAAAAATAGGTTCTCTCTTTTGTCTTTTTGGCATTCCCTCCAGGCAGCAGCATTTTCAGAGCACAAATTCAGTCCTTCCAATGAACCTACTGCATTGAGCATCTGCCTAGAGATCATAAATATGCTTTACTGATAGATGAGCTCACTTATTTTAGTCGCATACAAAGCCTATGGGCCATAAGGATTATTAACAGAAAAGCCTTAAGCACATCAAAATGCATGGTATAGAATGTCTAACATTCTATGGAAGTGAAAACATATTCCTTTTCCCCAGAACTGTACTTCAGGTACAATATGCCTACATTTGGTGTCAATTACATTCAAAATACTTGTAGCAAGAAGTATTTCTCTTGTTACTCCAAAAGCAACAGAGCTAAGGGTGAGCTGTTTCACGGCTAGAGAAAGGAGACAAGCATGAAACCAGAAGACTCCATGTGCTGTAAGTTTTGTGAAATTATGACCTTCAGCAGACAAGATGAAATTGAGCCAGCGTGAATAATAATGATGAATATTCTGTGGAAAATGGAACAGTTCACTACAAATGTTAAAACTAAATTGCAGTATAGATGGCTAAAAATTATTCCCCGAAACCTCACAAGTCTTAACTTTCCTCAGTACAAATGGAATTTTATTTCAACCATTTCAAAATTTAGAATTTCCTATATAAGGAAGAATTCCTAACTTACAGCCATGTCTCATGGACAAGCCAGCTTTCCTAATATGATCAAGCAACTGCAGTCAAACATCAGACAGAGCCCTCAGGCTGTGTAACAACCCCCAGAATTTGCAGCAATTCCCCCCTGTCTTACTTGCTTTGTCTTTCTGCTCCAATACCATGGAAAAGAACGAGCTCAGGGAGCAGCAACAGCTCTAACACACAACACTTTGGATTATAGGTAGTCCAGTATGCAAGTCACACTACTGAATATTTTGCCTTTTATTAAATCACAGCATCCACTGCAGCAGCAGAAAGGTACACATCACTTGCCTGTGCAGCCGAGGTCACTAAATTATGCTATAGTTAAGCTTCTCTTATCAAATGCATAAGAAAGTGATAAATCCCAAGTTACTGGAAGTCTTTGGAAACACTGGGGTGAAAAAAGGAGAAAAGTTGCAACAGTTATTTCTAAAATTTCTGCACTTTGGTAATTTCTTGCCATCAGAAGTGACCTTGCTTTGTAACCGTATGGCATTTTGAAGCGTCCCCTGCAAGCTGTTTAATGTTTGATTGCATAAAGAAATAGTGAAGTTCAGTAATAAGCATGTTACAGGGTACAGCCACAGGTACATTATCCACGTCAGATAGATCTAAATGAACAAAGCACTGCTTTAAATTAAACCTTCAGCACCTGGCCACTACAGAAAACAGTTCGAGAAGCAGTACATAAACATCTGTAAGTACTTTTCAAAGACTGATTCCTCCTTTGACACTTTAATAGGAGCAAATAGCTGCTGCTCTTCCATTTCCCTCATTTAGAGATCAAGCACACAGTCCTCCTGTAATTTATTCTGCATCTAAGCCTGCAAAACGGAATGTTATTTCTCAAGACATTTTCCTCGTCAAAGTGTGAGGCCATTTCATAATTCCAGCTGTATTACTGCTCCGCTCCTTACTAGAAGATTTTCAGGCATCTCTTGCAAAAACCTTTATACCCGTATTAAATCCTATTTAAAATGTGTCAAAAATCAGGAATGACTTTGAAGAGAAGAAAATCTAATTAAGCATTACAGGTTATCCCTTATTTAGGGCAAAAACTGCAGTAGCAAATCCTCCACTTTTGGTGCAGCTGACACACACATAAACAAAACAGCTTCTCCACATTCATATTTATAGTTCCAATTATGAAGAAAGATGTCTTCAACAAAGGAGTGCTGGGAAAAGTCCAATTTGTTATTCTTAGTTAATAAACGTATTATTTTAACAAAAACAGCTCCGTATCATCAAGATAACACGCACGGAAGCACCTCTGCACGATCTGTGAAGTACTGCAGCCTGCAGAACATTGAGAGCTCCTTGCAGGAGCCTGGCTGGCCATACACAACTGCCTTCCTCCTATCTTCCAGCTGCTGAAGCTCATCGTGCCACAGTTTGTTAGAACTGTGTTGCTGGACACGATGGGATCTGAGTCAGCCACTGCTCTGACACAGACACGCGCCAATCTTCCACCTGAGAGTGAGTTCTCCTAAAACACTTGGCAGCCTCCGAACATGAAAAGACCATGGTTTTTTTGTATATTAATAGTGATTTTTTAAAAGCTTGATAGTTTTTAAGCGGCCAAACCTCAAACTAAATTAACAGAGTATTCACGGAGCAGGGATTTGTGCCCCAGCTTGCTTGCTGATTCGTGTCCTGACAGGCTGGTCCTTGCCTTCCAAGTCTATAAGTAAAGATGCTCTGCTGCAGCAGCCTCTGCCTGCATTATTTTTGTGCTTCTGAGGCTCTTTCTCAACCTGCTCTTCACTGTAGCCTCTCCCTCTTTGCATAAGCTGCTGCTCGCTTGGTGCCACACATCTCTTGCCTGACACAGCCCATTGCACAAAACTTTTTTTCCCAAAAGCTTGCTTCTTCCCCAGGGGAGCCAGAGAGCGACCTTCCTCTCCCTTAAGAGGCATTTATTTGACCCGTTCACTTCCAAAGAGAATATTGTTATATAATTAAGAACCATCCACCAACCATGTAACAATTACTCTAGCCTGCTGTCACACTGATACTCAATTATGAATGAGGCAATCTAGGCAACTGTGAAAACAGCTTCTAATTCTACAAAACAAGTCTTAAATCTAAGGTGTGCCCCATGGGATAATGACATTGCTGCACACTCAGCTTCTATACTTCAAGCCATTTGTTAACTAAGACTCACAATCTGGATCTCCAAGTATTGTACCGCACATTAAGTATGGGAACATTTATCAATTTGTTTTCACCTCTCAAGTATTTTGATAAGTGTTTTAATGACTCTACTTATTCCACATCTAGAAGAAAGACTACCTAGCCACTGCTTTCAAATGTCTGCACCTTCAGAACAAAGATTAGTGAAAAATTATTTAGTGGTTACAACCTTCATAGGACAGCATTACAGAGCAACATGCGCACCCCTCTGAAACAACTGTATTACATTTTATAGCTTAAAAACCTCAAAAATTGGTCAAGAAAAATCTACACAGGATGGCTTGAAGTAATACCTGCATATGTACAGCAACACACCCAGGCAGGGAAAAAGCAAAGGCTCCTCAAGGCTTCTCTCTTAAAAGTGAAGCTTTCCTGAAGAGTGGGACTGTGAAAAGTAAATGATGCTGGAAGTTGAACACCAAGCAGGAGGAACTCACCTGAGACACGTGTCATCCTTGTGGAAAAATAGCACTGCTCTAGGTCCTCAAAGTGAGCTGTGAGCCGCTTCCGTCGCGAGGCTAGCGTGCTGTTATACCATGGCTGCTTTTTGGCCTGAATGGAGAAGAGAACATGTTTCTTGAGAGAGGAAAAGCCAGGCCCGAGGTCTGTTTCAATAGATTCCAAGAAACTGAAATACAATTTATCCACTGTATCTGGTGAGTCAGAATTTTACAATAACAATGAAGAATATCTTGTTACTATCAAGTCACAACCAGGGTGTCGCACTGCACCTTCTAACCTGAGAAGCAAGAGCAGCTCTGTTTAGATAGGGGTTTTCTGAAGCTCTGCAAGTTTAACTTCACACACAGGACAGATGACAGCAACCCACGGGGAGCCACATATTGCATTTGTGCACATAGACAGAGGCCCAACATACAGCCATTCAGCTTCCCAAATCAAATGGTCTGTACAAGAATTACTTCCTAGATCCCTAGCAAACCAAAGAGGCTGTTTATTTTAAGGAGTTAGTTAGTGAATTATTTCTTTTGAAGTAACTCAGTACCTATAAAAGTAAACAAAGGAAGAAAGAAGCAGGAATACACTAAGAGACTAAGTTCAAAGGTTAATTGAAAAGAAGTCCATGAAACACAAAAAACCACCACTTCCCAACCTACACAAGCATCAGTGCTAAGAGGGAGAACTGAAACTACATAAGCAAGCTCTCCCTTTGAAAGCAAATAGAAAACAAAGTGCTTCTTGTTTCAATCACTAGTGAAAGGAACAAATTCCTCTACTGCACAGGGATGAAGAGCATCTTGCTTTTGTTTGTGTTTCAAAAGTCTCACACATCACTCAGAGACAATGGGAGAACTTAAGAACCAACAGCTCTGCAGCAAAGATTTCTTATGGCACAATACCCTTGAACACACAAGGGGTACAGCCTCTCAAGCACTAACAAAACTCATTCAGCATGTGCCACGAAGAACACTGGTTCAATTCCCCCTCAAATCATGAGGCAGAATGGGGCTGCTCTAATTACAACCGTCAAGAAGCCAACAAGAATAAACAAAGTTTAGAGCCTACTTTGAGATTCTGCTTATAACTGTACAAACAGTAACCTAAGGCTCAAGGGAAGAAACATACCCCAAGCAATGAAACTTCCAGATGCCACTTCCCGTGTGAGGCCCCTGGCTATGTGCTGACATCGTGACTCATGGCTCGACAGCTCGTTTCATCTTGAAAGCAGCTCCAATCTCAAAACACATTTCCAGTGCTGGAAAGCACTCCTACCTCAACACCTTTTGAATATAATTTTCTAAAGCATAACAGCTTTAAGAGAGATGTAACGGAACGCTTTACAGAATCGCTCCCCTGATTTTGCACCCCTGCTCGCACGGGCTCCAGCCTCTCCTCACACATCAGACGTGATAAGGGCTCAAGATGACTCAAGAACCAAGGAACAATCACTCCAGTCTCATTAAGACAGACAAGCCTGTGACACGATGAGTGAATATTAGCCATGCTCATCTCTGATCTGCTGGATGTGTCCAGTCCATGCGGAGGTAAGCATCAGTGTTTTGAAGTAGCTTGCCTGCTGGGTAATACATCAGCAGAGGAAAATTCCCTCGGAGCAGTCTCAGACTGGCACCTGGTGACCCAGCTGTGCTGGGAATCGGACTGCATCTTGAGCTGAGACTCTGCAGCAAGAGGCTTAAAGCTGCTCAGGCTTTTATAAAAACATTTATTGATCTTCTAAGCAGAGAAGACTGCTTGATGGCTAGTTGTTAAGCAATGCTAGGAAACAAGAGTGGAAAAAATAAGGCAGTGAAGGAGTGAAAAGGAGTGATAACACATCCAGTGTTTTCTATTCAACTGCTCGCTATATTAAAAACTGAGAAAGCTATTAGTGTTGTTCCAGTTGAGAATGGTAAGTAAGGGTTACCCTTATCAAGAGTGATTCTTCTGTCAGAAGTCCAGTAGGCACCCTAAAGAGTCCTCTCAAACAACCGTGGAAAACCTTCACAGCTGCACACAAGCTCCTCATTTTCAGCAGAAAAGCCAGGTACTGCAACTAAGTACTACCTACAGAACTCCCTAGTGCCTATGCAACTTGTCCACTGCTTTCTTCTGAAGCTCAGCCTCTGCAAGAAAATTGTCCTGTGGCTCAGTGACACATAAACTCTTCCTTAACATGTTTGCAAGCAATGCAGAAAGTAATTGCACTGTGAAAGCAAGCTATGCTGCCCTTTCTAGCTAAGTTGCACACTGCCAGCTGTAAAAATCTGCAATCTTTGTCGTGACTGACAATTTAAAGTGTACACCTGAATTTAAATTCTTAGAAACAGCCTCACTGCAGAAAAACTTTTTACTGTGAAGTCATACTGAAATGAGACTACCTTTGAATGAAGTGTTTAAGAGTTCCCTCTCAACTCTCCATCCAAACATACATTAAAGTTTGATTAGTAAATTTGCACTAGAGAGTATAGATCTTGCACTGCCAAGGACAAAGAAATTGAATTTGAGGACAAAAAATAATCTCAAACAAATACGACTGTCATACTGAATGACTAGAAAATCTAGGTTGTTTGTTCTGTGCAGTACAGCTGTGGTATTTTTTTTTTTCCATTTCAAAGGAAAAATTAAAGTACTGAGACAAGTAGTGTCAGTAGGGAACAAACACTATACCATATCAGTCCCAAACATAAAATCCCCATGAACATTTCATGTGCCCTTTACAGTAAGGTAGAAATGTGACATTTTGCTTAAGCAAAAACCCCACAGACTGCAGCAGAAGGAACAACAAACTTTTTTTACACAGATTGAAAAAACTCCTCATTACTAATAAGTTATACAGCTGCAAACAGAATTCTGCATATGCACTCAAGCTCAAAATTTAGGTGCTTTTTCTTGATATCAGTTACTTAGTCAAATAAAATCCAGCAGCACTTCTGTTAATTTGCCAGTTCTGAGTTTCTCTGTGGCAGCACACAAGAAAGCACCTCAGACACAAGTTAACACATAAACAACAGCCTAGCTAAATAAAAACTCACCTCTATAGTCAAAACCCTCTGATTCAATGAGCTGGATACCAGTGTCATCTTTGTAGCCCAGATGAACCACTCTGAACTGCAAGACCACAGCAGTGCTGTTTGTCATTTGGTAAGCTGTGTGAGTCAGACCAAGTTTGGAGGCTGCCTGCCAAATGGCCTCACTGTATGCTGAACCTTTTGCCCTCTACCATATGAATTCTTACTACAATTTGTAAGGCACTAACAATGATAAACTACAAGGCAACTGTATATTTGGAGAATGAATGTTCTTGGTTTAGAAGTCAGACTTGATCCAATGCTATGTAATTCAATGCAGAGCGTCAGGGATTCACCTCTCTTCTAAAACACTGCTGACTTGGGAGATAAAAAGCAGAAAATATCCTCTCTGCCCTGGAAGAGTCAGCTTTGGGAATAAAGTCACACACCTAATAAGTCAGTTATTTTCTTAGCTTGCACCACTGTGAATATTCACAGCTACGCACAGTCATTCCTACCGCTATAGTTTCAGCTCCAGTTTGACCACATAACCAGTTAAAGCAAGAGGCCAGTTGACTGGCACCCTGGAGATGGTCTGTGTTATGGTGTGATGTCTCCACATCCACTGTTCCTTTCCCCTCGTGCACAGACACATGTATTACCTTACCTGAGAACTGCCACTGAAGCCTGGAGGCTGGCTGTACTCCGTGGAGTCAATAATACTACTGCAAACACAAAAGAAATAGTCTGCTTAAATCACTGTACAATCATCCTTTATTATTTCCAACCTCTTCTACTCTCCCCCAACCTTTTTACATCCTGTAGCATACTTACCTTTGAAACCCATTTTATAGACATGGAACACAATGCTGTTTTTTATTTGGGGATACAGGAGCAATATGGATTTTTTGTTCTGTTTTTAAATGCACAATGTCTAGAACAGAATGCTGATCAGCTCTGTACATACAATAGATTTGTTTACTGTCACACACAATTTAGTGTAGTGCAATCTAATAATTTCTAATTAGAATGCAAATGCATATCTTTTGCATGAAATATGCAGGTTAACACATCCTGAAAAATAACATGCTACCAGTGGTTTGCAGTTCCTTTTAAATTTCTTTTTTTTCAATTTAATCTGTTGCATTTGAAACAGCAGTGTGAAGAAAAACCTAAAGGAATCAGCTTAAGAAAGACACAAGTGTTCCAGACATCTCTGAACACACAGAACAGACACCAGCAACGAAATACAGAACTAAACTCAAATACCAACGGCCAAGAGTGCTATTACTAGAAACTGCTATGCTACATACAGCTCCATAGTTAGTATTTATAATTACACAGCATATCTAAGTCACTGCTTTTAAAACATAACATACACATGCCAACTCCAAATGTTTCGTTTTCAAAAATGCAAAGGTATCTGATAGAGCCAAAAAGAAGGTGCTAAGTATGCTTTCGTTTATAGGCAAAATACAAATAAACCACTGAAGTCAGCTTAAAGCACCCCTATTAAAAATTTTTAAATGCACAACACCATTTTGTTAATCACAAATAACACATTACAAGTATCACTGTTTCTGATTTGTTGGAGAAAAAGGATTTTTCAGAAACACTTCTGCTGTGTCATTTCAATTGATTTGGACAGAAGCTATGCTCGTTATTCTCAGCTTTACTTATAAGTTAACCCTAGATTTAAGCACCGCCTGGGAGGAGCTGAACATTTCTTTAAAAAGCTGCCAGAACATTTCTATAAGTCCTGGTTTTGGAAGAGATGGTTGCATGTACTGATGTTCAGGTAATGGCTGCCAGAACAGATGGGTAGACATGACATTCTTGGTCATGAATCAAGTGGTCTGGCTGGAACACCAGTCAGGGTACCTGCAAGTCTAGGAGGATGAAATAGTGGTATTGGTGCTTAAGTATTTCTCTGAATGCTTTAAAGCTCTCCTGGAAGTAGAAGGAAGTAGAAACAGATGAGAGATGATTTTAAAGTATCGCTAGTGGCTAACTTGCAAGATGAGATTGACTGGAGTTCTGTAACAAGCAAGACAAAAGCTGCAAACAAAGAAAATCTAAGGGATAGAAATCATTATTTGCTGCTAGCTATTGCAAAGGAAAAATAGCAGAGTTGTTTCAAGCACAGTCATGGACAATGAACTTTAAATTAGGATGTGGCCACATGAAATAATGAAACACATACAGTAGATCCTGCCAGGAACAGCATGGATAAGACACTCAGCTGGAAAGCAATGAAGAAGTACTCCAGTCCGAGACAGGTATAGCAGCAATTAACAGCAAAACACACAGACTTAGGGTATCTAGTCTCGTTCTGCTGCAGGTTGTCTGGTGATGTAAAGCCTTCAGGAGTGCAGACGTCATTTCCCTAACCAGAATACAAATTCAAAGCTGGTTCTGCATGGAGCCTGAAGCCGAGTTAAGCTGGCATATGTTTGCACGTTTCCCATTTAAAAAATGGGAAGCAAATAATCAGAAAAATCAAAGTTTCCTCTGAACTCCTTTTAAGAAGCTGTAGCAGCAGGCTCAATTAGGAAATCCAGCTACACTAAAACGATGTATTTAAAAACCTGGAATGAGAACAACAACGCAGCAACCTGCCTCTGTAAATCACGTTTGTTACATTCTTATGAGATGGTAAGAGCAAATTCAGGGGAAGGAGATCAGGATTTTGGTAACTGAGGCCGAGTTACCAGGCAACTAATTTTTTTTTTTTTGTAACATCAGAATTTCTCCCCAGAAACACCTATTAGAGTGATGGTTTGTTATTGCTATTACTGCCTGAATACCTAGCCACAGAGAAGCTGCTGCTTCTATCTCCTGTTTGCACCATCTACCCATACCAAAAATAGCACACAAGCCTGTTCTGACAACCCAGAACTATTTGTTCTTTTCCCTATTCTTCCTGTTCTCTATTAGTATACAAACCCAGCAATCTGCAGTCCTGTAAACAAGTGGCATGCTATTACTCAATTGAATATTTCCTCACGCCCTGTACAAGCATAAAAGAAAAAACACTTGTTTCTTGAAGCAGAGAACGCTCTGAACATGATAGTTGTGTTTGTTTTCTTGCTAAGCGACTCAGAATGGAAGATGGGGGGAGGCACAGTAATTCCACATTTTGAAGACGTTGAGGACGCTTGAAAAAAGCAACAAACAATGGAAAGAATTAATGAAGCAAGGATGTAATTTAGAGCAAGTAGTTGAATAAGGGCAAGTCACTGGAGACCAGATAAAGCTGATTTGCAGACAGCTATGTTCTTGAGCTTTAAATTTAAAGACTATAGAATTGTTTTTGGTTTTTTGTGTTTTTTTTTTTTAATCTCAGCAGGGATCTATGATAGCCTTGTGCTATTTATGAGTTGTAGTAGTAAGTTTATTTGATTGTATTTTTTTATCAAGGTGTTTAGCATATTAACAAGTTATACTCCAATTTAATATACCACTTTAACTCAGGTAAAGTCTAAAAAAGTCTTCGCCAGTTTAACATCATTTTAACAGAGAAGTGAAACTACCTCAAAAATATTTGCGTTTCATCCTTTCTGATTCACAGCACCAATAAAAAGCACTTGGAACATTAAATATATCAGCTACCACAGAACTGGAAAAACCTGCAGATTTTAAAGCTCCTATCAGTTGTCCTGCACCCCTCTTTTCCAAGCAGGAATCACAGCTAATTTGGGAGATACTCCACAAAACTTAGACTTAACGTTAGGAAAAAGAAAGAAGAATTTCAAGTGGTAGAAGTTTCCGGAATCAGACTTCATGTAATTTAAGCCAATTCAATTACTTGTATTACATAAAACCACATCATCTGTCAGGATCAGGGAGGGATAGAAGCCACAAGAGCCAGGTAACTAAGGATGCCTGTTCAGACATTGCCTTCACCTACTACTTCCTCTTGCACTACTCACAACTACTCTTAACACAGCAATGCCATCAAGAAACAGAAAAGCAATCAGCAAATCCACGTAGTGCAGAAAGACACTATATACTTTGTGGTATATATATCACAGTCCTAGTATTATGTTGTACAACAGGAGGAGGAGAAAGAGGTTCAGACACAGCCGAGATAGAACAGAAGAAGCATAGGAAGGATCCACTAAGAAAACAGTCCCATGGTTTCAGCAGCTGCAATGGTCTGACCTACCATCATCTCCCAGCAGGCCTCAGCTGAAACTCCCTGAACTATTCAGGACACTATCTTACATCTTCAAAAGCAAGGACAGAGAACAATTGACCCTAGCACATGAAATAAGGAGGCATAAGAAATAGTAAGAAATTCTCAGTAGACTGAAATCAGCATACGTCACACACAGCAGATACTCAAACCTTCTCACAAAAACTCTTGAGCTTAAAGTGTTATTTGAGATTTCAACAGATAAAGTTCTCCAGGAGGTTGTTTGTTAATTTGCCCCAAGTAACAAAGATACATTTCTCCTCGTAAATACAATCTTCTCAGAAAAAAAAGGCTTCTACGCCTGAAGGCGCTCAACGTGTGAGGAACAAATTCAGCCCAGCTCTTGCTGAAGTTATCCCCAAGCAGCAGTGACATGAAACAAACCACAAGCAATCTGTTTAATAGCCAACAACCAGAAAACTAGCAGAATCTGACAAAAATCTCATCAGCTTCACAAAACTGATGCTTAGCAAAGCAGCAATAACCACACGGAAAACACACCCACACCCAGATGTTGGGCAAGCAGCGAAGGACAAAGCAACAAATGCTGCTCCCGTCCATCTCTGCTATATTCCTCTCCTTTCCATTAAAGCCAACTAGAACTTCCTAGAAATACTACTGATTCTTTTCTCCATCCAAAAATAGCAACTTAGTAAAAATTCCCAGCCACTAGTGCTGCACTCCATACCAACGCATTGTTCCTCCATCTCTCCAGGAGAGGAAATCTGATCGTTTCTGTCTAGCTTGCTTCTGAGCTACCAGGTTTGGAGTTGCTAATTGCAGTAATGGTACCAAGAAATTCTGTAACAGGAATCAACTGCTTACAGAACGCTTGCTATTAGAGAAATACACTTGGGAGAGGTAGGAGAGATGATCGTTTAATAACGTAACTGGGCCCTGTGAAATCAGAGCTTTCTTCCAACTGAAAAAAATGTGGCTATAAAGAGCACAGCACTTCAAACCTTGGCACATGCAACTTGGATGTAAGAAGCATCTGTAATTTTGTCATCAAGAAACCAGACTGTGCAATATTCCAGACTAAAAATCCACATTGAAAATATGTTATTAGAAAGGCATTTCATTAAATCAAAGCAGACAGTAGATAAACCGAATCAACACTATGTGCATTTTACAGTCTGATTCTGTAAGCAAGTACCTTTGGTCACTCATGCGGAGTGGAAAAGCCAGAGGACACTGGCATCTTGCAAAATTATGTTTCCATATGTCAAAAAACTGCACAATGTCCAATACATATTTAATAGTAATATTTCATACCATAGCAAAGGCTTATCACTCATGTTAACTAGCCCATCCTATATCTAAAACCATCAGCTTCTCACATCCTCTGGATTGGAGAAGACTTTTCATCCAACTGTAAGCTCAGAGAACAATCTTTTCACTGCTTTGTTCATGTGAATTTATACCAGTAAAATCAAAACATGTAAATACTGTATGGTACTGTATGGTACTTTTGCTTGTGTTTCGTGCATGGCAAGGAGAAGACTAACCATACAGCACAGCATGTACAGCTGCAGATCCAAGTTCCAAGTGGCAACTCCATACCTGTGCGAAGGTGAGGGAGCTTCAAACTGTGGCACCGTACTGTCTTCACTGACTGGGGAGTACAAGCCACTCATTTCCTGAAACAGAAAGCCAGATTACAGCAAAGCTGACAAAACATGAAGAGTAGGTACATTTCAATATATGGAATTTACATAGACTTCCTTGCATTTATTTTTTTTCCTAACAAAATAATGAACTGTAGCTTCAATTCTTCAGTTCCCTCCTGGAAGCTTCCCCCTGAAGCTGAATACCTGAAGAAACCTTGATTTTTTTTTTTCCATTTATTTTTTCTTTCAGGTATTGTTCCGGACAAACCCAGGTATCATCTAGGTTTATGGAACCACACAGCTGCAGTGATTTTTTGCCCCACAAAAGGCAGTTGTAAAGTTTATACTCAAACAAAGAGAAAACACCAGTGGATTTAGTTAACATCCAAGAGTCCCTAACCCAGCATCTCCCTTAAGCACAGCAGAACAAGCAAGCTCTAAGCATATTTTTGAGACACATGCTAACTTTTATCCAGCAGCCTTCGCAGCTATAAAGTTATGTCAGATGTAGGTCAAAGAAAGAACAGCCACAAGACAACAGGGCAAAGGTGGTATTGTGCTCCAGACTTAAAAGAGGATCTATGAGTCTTCTGTGGAGTAGGTGCACAAGGGAAACTTCACACATGAACTTGGCTTTGTCACTTCCAGTCTAAATCACTACAGTGCACCCAGTACAAGATTGTATCTTTAATCCATTTAAGAAATTGAAGCTATGCAGGATGCTGCAGCTCATTAGTTAGGGGGCCAAAATGTTCCAGGACGTTACTGTTACTTTTAGGATTCCCACTAGGTGCCCATTAGTTGTTAAGCAGAAAGTGAGATATTTGTGACAAGAGAGATCCCAGGCTTCAGGGGTCAGCACTGAGGTCACTGTCACACACTGGATACATACCCCAGCTGCAGCCCGCTGAACTGCCAGATTAAAGAGCAGAAAACCGGGTAGCTAGATATTCTCCAAGGGACCCCACAGCTTTAAGAATAGCTTCTCCTAAATTTGAAGGCCTATTTTACCAGTCTAGCAAGCTAAGGCATATTTATTTCCCAAGAGCTGAGAAAGATTCAGGGAAGCCAGCTTGAAACACACTGTTATCTGCTGAACTACAATTTGCATAGTTATCAGCTGAAGGGAAGTTCCTGCAGCTGTCAGTTCTATTTATACTTCGATAATTCATCAGCATGTGCATGAATTCAACATAAATGTAGAAATCTAAGAGGCTTTTGGGCAGTGGATGGGAGATAGGACTGACTGCTTGAGGCAAGCAAGAACAGCAGCCATGCAAACTGATTCCCAAGAAGCTCTAAGGGAAATCTACTTAGAGAGGTGGCAGAATCTGATGCATTCCTAAAACAGTTTCCTACCTCTGAATCAAAACACTAGGATGACTGGGGGAAAGGATCAAGCAGAAACCTGAAGGACTGAATGAGGATAGCAGGATTGAGCTGATGGGCTTACAAATACTTAGAGAAATAATTCTTAACAAAAAAAATCTCAAGAGGATCCTGAGGATCAGGAAGTAGCAGATGGTTTCTGTTCTGACATGCAGCAGGAGCTGATTCTGCTCCTACCCTGCCTCTGCATTATAGCTCTCTCATGCACCCCTGATGCATCTCCATTTCTACTGTGGCACGTTGCTAAGATTTAAACAGCCTATACAGACTGCCAGAATAGGGCAACACAAAAATCATAAATCACAATCAATAAATTGGCTGTTGATTTCTAGCAATTCTAAAACACTACTCACATAAAGAAATTGAAAGATATGATTACGTAAGAGCTAGGTTTCAATAAAGCCCTCCTTTACTAACCTGCAGTGTGCACGCATCAACTATGTGAACAAATTAAAGAAAGAGCATCATCTGTTCATTTTCCCATTACTGAAGCAACCGCCATAAATTTAACACATCAGCCCCACAGCAAGGCAGACAGCTTGATGGAAAAGAAAAATTGCCAGTCAGAACAACGTCTGGGCACCTCACCTCTACTCGTTTAATATCTTCTTCCAGAACACTTAGCTCCTTCTGGATCTGCTCCAGTTGCTGTGGATAAGAGAATGGGAGAAATCTAAATCAATCTGTACAGCACCGCTGCCAAGATAAATTAAGATCTTTTCAGAGAGAAACCTTAACTATTGTAACTGTGATTCAAGAGTCGCTAGGCAGATGTTCACATGTATAGATTGACATAAGTATGCACAAACTACTTTTAAGACAAAGTTGTTATCGTAAAACGGTACAAAACAAGAGCATGATGTACTTTGATTTTAAACACAAAGATCCACATCATTCAAAGTTACACTTCTACACTCCCACAGCACCTTCCATGCAAGATATTTATAACTTGTTTACAAGCACTGAACACGATCAGGCAAAGACCCCAAGAACGAGACCACAATCACTTCATCCTTGAAAAAAATATGAAATACTTAGCTAAAAAAGTATTACGAGCACTTCCCTTTCTAGCAGTTAATCTACTAATTGACAAGTTAAAGTTTCTAGTAAGATTTTCAGATTGGCAAAAACACCCAATATGACCAGGGAGAGATTTGCTCCTGGTACCAAGCAAGCGTGGCATTGCTTTAAAAGGTGCAAAACCTTGGATTACACCACAGATTCCAGCCAATCTAACCAAGGTCCATCTGTGAAAGGCTCAGAAGGAAACTTCTTCCAAACTCACCAGCCACCATTTCCTTTCCCTTCTTGGGGTCACACTTTTTTTTTCCCTCTCTAACCAGACATTGCCCTGGTTTGACTCATCACACACACAGCGAAACCCACAGCCTTGGTGCTTACTGCTTACTCCTAAGCAAGAGTATCACCTGCTCACCAGCTCTAATTCTCACTCCTCATTCAATAGACATCTCCCATCCAGACACCCACACAGCCAGTGCTCAGCCTCTCAACATTCAAACACATGCACCATACTAGGTGAGAGCTCTAAACAGACCAACCCCACCTTCTGTGCAAGCCCAACTTACCGACGTGCACAACCCTAACTAGGAGAATTAGAAGTCCACCTGACTTGCTTCACCTTGCCATAAAGATCTACAGACAGCTAGCACTTTGGCATTTGACCAGAAGCTATTATCAAGTTGGCAAGTCCACTGGAAGCGCATTAAGCACAACATTCTTTGAAGGCCAGTCACATTTTTGCCTCAATCTATTTACATCAAATTGACCAAAACTAGAATTATTAGCACTGCATTACATAAAACTCTTAGCACAACATATTCCCAAGAATGTCTGGCAAATTGCTTCTGAAGACTTATTCCCTCAAGGGCCATTAGAATGACAATCTTTTGCTTAAAGACTAAAATTCCCAGTATTGACCAGCACTGCAAATACTGGCATGCTCTGCATCAGAAAATCCATTCTTTTAATCTACCTTTTTCACATGAAGAACGCTTCTGTGCCTAAAGACAGGAGAGGATTGCTGCATTCACACCTATTTCTAAGATGGCAGCATCTTCCTTGGAATGAGATGATGCTGTACCTATATCATAGCCACCCTACTCTGAAGTCTTCAGTTCACAATTTTAGTCACAGACAGCACATGTTTAATGGTTTAAACCTAGAGTGCCACAGATAATTTACAAACCACTACATATAACAGATAATTCCATTTTCACTTGCAAAACCTACAGCAAGAATAGCAGGTGGTGCTACAGCTCCAAGATTAGTGGTAAAGTTAAATGACACTTGCACAGTACGGGCCCTGCCTGTGCTCAGCTCCAGCAGTCAAATACCATTAGTCCCCTACTTCTATAAACTTATTTAAAAAGAAGTTACAAAACCTCACTTAGAAGTTTCAAAATTACAGCAAGGAAATGAGCTATTCTACAATGGACTGGACCACGGCCAAACTAGAAGACTGAAAAATAACTGATGGCTGTTGCCATCATGTAACCAGGAGACCTTTTTATAGGCACCAGAGCAGATACACTTCATTGGCCAGCTTTTAGTAATTACTGCATAGTGCCCAAAGTACCCAAGACTTCATTTGCTGTTGCTAATTCTTTCTTCCAGCTACATTTAAAAGAGCAATCAAATTTATCAAGCAGCAGCAAGCCTAAAAATGAGGTAAGTGTGTTGCATGTTCACTTCAGGAATAGTCTTCTGACCCCATAAGCATCAAACCAGTTACCAGTACTCACACTGTGACCAGCTTTTTTGGTAGCTCAAATATCTCATGGTTCTGCTTTAGTCTACCAAAGTCCTTAAATCAGTCCATGTTCATTCCAATTCTAATCTGAAAAATGAGACGGCTGAATTATAATTGCTTGCCACTGCAAAACATTTAAGGAAAGCTAAATGAATTATAGTCCTCATAATATGCCCAGATTTATAGATCATTTGATTTTCAGTCTTGTTGGGCTCAAAAAGCAAGCCAAGTCCTATCTCACTGATGGGCAGAATCATTTCCGTCAAGCTTTAGATTAAGTTGGCATAATGCTTAGAATGAATGCTTAAACAAATGCACAAAGGAACCACTTATTATGAACTCTCAGACACGGATGCCTTCCCCAAACTGAAAGAGCCACTGTGAATAAGCAGAAGTCTTCAATTCAGCAGTTGTAACAAACTCAGTCATTTCAGCTCCACTGTGAATAAATTACAAGAAGCAGGTGTGTAACATTCTGATCCCAGAAAAAGAGCTTCAGAACATGCAAGTCAAGAACTAATGGACTGGAAAAATAGGATGTCATAGATCCGCATGGCAATTAAGAAAAACAAGCTAATGGTACAACTCAGAGCTAGTCTCCACTAAGCAAAACTTCAAAGACAAACAAGCTTATGCAGTGAACCAGCTGCACAGTATTCTAGTCAGAGCGCACAACTTGATTCCCACACCAGAAGAACAATCTCTTCCAAGTTCAGTCATTTCAGAGGCTGCTGAAAAACTAACAAAATAAAAGGTAACTACTGGCAATATCCTTGTTCAAATGAACAGACTAGGAGTAGTAGTCAAAATAGCAAGTAACAGTAACAGCCAAGGAGAGACATCACAACCACAGAGGTTAGAACAGATTCTGGACATCCTCCAGTCCAACCCCGCTGCTAAGGAAGTTTCCCTACAGTAGGTTACACAGGAAAGCATCCAGGTAAGGGTTTGAGTATTCCAGTGTACAAGACTCCACCAACTCTCTGGGCAGCCCATTACAGTGCTTTGCCAACCTCACAGTAAAGAAGTTTTTCGTCGTGTTAGCATGGAACTTTTATGTTTGTGCCAATTGCCCCTGCTTCTGCTGCTGGGCACCACTGAAAAGAGCCCAGCCTCATCCACTTCACTCCTTACCACCAGATATCTGCACTACCATTTATAATTGTGAATGAAAAAGATCCCCCTCTCAGTCTTCTTCTGAACCACGTCTCTCAGCATCTCCTGACAAGGGAAACAATCCAGCACCCTCATCATTTTTGTGGTCCCCACACAGTTACAAAAGAAGTTACCACAGTAGGTAATATATGGTCCCATAGCCTTCTTCTTACACAACTTTGCAGATCAGATTCCTTTCAGATCCCCAAGCAGTTCACGAAAACCCTCTGGTTTGAATTTGAAGCTGTCTAGAATCACAGAATTGCTCAAGTTGGAAAAGACCTTAAAGACCATCAAGTCCAACCCCATCCTAACCTAACCATATTACCCTGTGGGTAATCTACATACAAAGTTCTCTAAAATCAACTTTCAGCTCTGGTCTAAGTGTACGAAAGGACATCCTCCATCTACAGTTATGCAGTGGTAAATGCACCATCAATACCAAAATGCTCCTGACTTTCAATTCAAGAATCTAGGTTGGGATTATTAATCGCAGCTTATACAGCACTAAACACCATGGTCACAATTTGATGTCAGTTGGTTATCTAGCAACAAACGCAGCTGGGCGCAGTGGGGGAATTTTCAACCTTATGCTTTTTGTTTTTCCTGGATCAAGAACTTTCTTCATTCACTTTGCTGAATCCTAGGTGCTACCATCTAGACCAAGGCTCAGCAGAATTTCTCAGTGCCACAGAGATGGCCTGGAAACAAACAGGCAAGAAAACCTCACGAGGCAGTCATTTGCCTTCAGCCAACTGGCTTTCCAATTCTAGAAAAAGGATAAGAAAGAAGTAGCAGAAGTTACTTTCTAAGGAAATACTGAGAAATCCCCAACGTAACTCCCACTGAACAGCTTAAACAGAACTTCTGGACTCACACTTTTGGAAACAAGCTATTTTGAGTCAGCTACACTCCTACAACACTCTGATCCAAAAGCTTCATGCATTCATCACTCTGTATACAATAAAGACAAAAACTCTCCACACAACATCCTCTTTCTACATCCTGTCCTTCTACCACCTAGTCCACCGGCAAATTTGAATGTGAACTCAGTAGATCAATAACTGAACCCCAGCTCAGATACCTAGCAAGATAAGTTTCTTCCCATAAAACTCAATACCTCAAACACAGCTCAGATCAGCTTTCCCTGGAAATCAGTTGGAAGTCTCATACGCCTCAGTGTTTTCCTTCCATTACTACCCAGAGCCTGCTACACAGATCAAGTAGGCAAGGAAGCGATCTTCTGAGTTGAAAGATATTTTAGGCCCTTAAACCACAAGTTTTGACATCAAATTCCATTTGTTGACATCTTTACTGATGAAGTCTTTGCATGAGTGGAAAACAAGACAAGGTTTCTTTTGAAGCATTCTTTTTATCTTTGTACAAGTCTTTGCGTATTATTTTCATTGGTTAATTGTGGGAGATAAGCTTTTTAGACATATGAGCAGGCCACCCATAAGACCTGTCTTGATGACATATTTCTTCCCTGCAGTCAATACTTCCTCCAAATAGCAATATATTTCCTCTTAGCAGGGGAAGAGCTAACAATGGTTTGGAGACTGCATCCTCATTAACACAAAACTCCTGAAAGCAGGAGGGGGGATGGCTGGCTAACCAAGTACGTTTCACATTTGTAATTTCTCCCAAGCCCTCTTAAAATAAATCCTCCAGTTCAGGTTGTAGAGACGATGCTTTGAATGCTTGCTGACACAGTCAGGTAGAAGTACACCGCAAGAGAAAGATCACTGAGGCAGGGAACAAAACTGTTTAAACACTGAGATGGATTCCGTTTAATAAATTTATGTACAAGGCCACTTAACTCCTAGCATTAGGTTGCACCCTCCTTTCTTTAGGGAAATCTCCCCCATCTCAGTAGGGAATAACACTCAGCTATTACACACTGATATTTCTATGGTAATCCCCAGCTGTCTGTTCATACCCTTACTGCATCCTCAGCTTATCACTACAGTCAGAGCTCACGTCTAATTGAGCAGCTTAGAAATGCAAATAGATTTAAAATACCAGTTATTTAAGTGCAATGCACAGGAAAGAGTACTATAGCTATAAATTTACCTCAGGAGCCCTGGAATGTAATCAAGTCTATATGACAACATAAGAGCATGACTGATTTCTAGTTCTGTCACCTCCTCTTGCTTATTCATTAGTTCATCCTTGTGTGTATGCACAGAACAATATGATCTGACAGGTGAAGTGATTAACACAAGCTAATGACACCCCTGGAGAATTCATACTTATAATTCCCTGCAATTATCCCACAATAACTAATAACTCCTCTTATTTTTAGTATTTAACATGTTCACAGGATGGAATAATTGGAGACTGTTGGATAGATATGTATCTGAGGCTGGAAAGGGTGATGATGATTCTGAAATGCTGAGCAAGCATTCAACAACCTGAGAGGTCTTGTTTGGTAAATAGGAGAGACTTAATGTGACTTTATTAGAAATCAAAAATATAAATACAAAGAAGTGACAGCTGCCAAGAGAAGCATGAATGCACCTAGACAATACCGCCTATACAACTTGATTTGTGACATCAGTTGTTAAACTTGTTATCCACCTTGCCTAAGTGTGCTACTTCACAGAAACATTTAACAGACTCCCCATCAAGCAGCTGTGCTAAAAGTGGTTTAGGACAAATTGTATATACACACAAAATACACAGATTCATATGGTACTACCTAGCTTCATGCAGTAGTGTTCAAACCACGACAAGGTATTTAGTTAAGTCTCCTTAAACTGGTAACAGAAGAGTTTTGGTAGCAAGAGAGCTGATAACAGCAGCTAAGTGTTCAAAATGAACAAACAATCATTTAAAAATAAACAACGTTAAACTTGAATAAAGTATTTATGCAACACAGCTAAGGTAATGGCATCAAATTACTAATTTTAAAAGAGTCACAGGTTGATGTATTTGGTTTCCCTTGAGAACAGTAATAAACCATGAAGTCAAGCTTTTCATTATTAAACTTGACCTTCTAGACTCCTTGGATCTTTGATTTTAATAGAAGAGCCTGATAGATGGAAAAAAAGGGAAGTGTGCATCCAATTAACTCTGCACACATATGGAAAGGCATACAACCATGCAAAGTTTGTCTTTGAGAAAACCAGCTATTGTGGATGATCAATACACCCATCCACTATAAAACTATCCATTATTTTGTTTAGAAGATACTTTCAGGCTTCAGCCATTTGTTTTCAATCTTTTTCCAAGTCAGATTCTTCTTTCTCCTACTAGTATTGCCAAGGAGTTTTTTTTTTTTTTAAGCCGTATTGCCATAGGTCAGAAAGAAAACAAAACATAACCTTAAAAGAAAAAGAACTTGCAAATACCTTTGTGCAAAACACATGCAGTAAATTTCAGTTTGAAAGATCAATGTTTTGGAAAGTTATGAACACATCAGAACAGAATTTCTAATGGAAACTTCTGCAGGTGCTGAACTTCACATTTATCTTCTGGAGAAATGATGAAAGTGCAAGAAAGAAGCATTTGTCAGAAGACGACTACAGCAATATTCTGAATTCTTAAGTATGAGTCTGTAGAGTTTTCTTCTAGATGCAATTCCCCCTTTAATAAGTGAAGTCATCACCATTTCATGAAGGTAGGAAGAAAAAACTTTTATGAGTGAAATAAGCAGAGTTACAGGTGGTAAATTATATGCTCTGAACATGTTGTAATGAAATATTATACAAGTACACTAACTCCAGGGCAAGATCTGTATTAACTAACAAAATTGTCAGTCCCAAAGAAACTGCAGCCTGTAATTAATAAAAGCTGTTAATAAAATCATGCAATAAATAATATTCAAAGAGGCACACTAGGAAACAAAGTTACCAGGCAATTTTGTATTTCTTTGAAGATTTAAAACAAAAATTTGAAACAGACACTCAATCATACACAAAAGAAGCTGTAACTTACTGAGTGAAGTTGCAATTACTCACTCTGCAGTCATCTGTACTGGAACCAGGTTTGAATTAGTAAAAACAAAAAGAGCAGTGTTCCTTCAGACTCTCCCCACAAAAATAAAGCCTGCTTACATGACTCACAGCTCTGTCAAATATGTTAAACATTCCAGAGTCTTTGCATGTTGAGTTCCATCTTTATTTCTTAAAATCACCTATTGAAGCATCAAAAGAAACTTAAAATTTGCTAAAAGATCTGATAACCTTTCCTGTGCTTTACTGCTTATTAAGATAGTCATTTGAACCCCTCTTCCAAATTAGTACTTCAGCTTTTCTGCAGACATCTGCCTGCAGGTTAAGACTTGGATTCATCATCACCATAGGCATAGACCACATCCTTCCCCAAACAGTAGCTCCTTTGGAAGAAATCATTTGGAAAACAGAATGGAGTATTTGTAACAGACACTGCTGACCGTGGCAAAGATCTTGGGATTACTATAAAGAACCAACTGGATTAATTTAGTCTGTTGGTAGAACTGGTGTCTTGATTGATGAAAACAGTTTTTCTAAAACTTCCCTAGTAATTTTTATTTTCAACTCTTCTATCAATTGTTTCTTATCTTCCTTATTAAGTGAAAAGAAAGATTGCAAGTGGAAGTCTGACAAGGCTTCATTTCCTAAAAGATGAAAGGCAAGGCCAGATGCTAACCACTACAGCAAGCTCAGAACTGACAGGCTTGCACAAATGTCTTTTGAGATGTGACAGTCTGCATTTGATGTTAGAATACAAAAGGGGGGGGGGTTGATAAGAAACAACATCAGAAGTAGTCTTGGCAACAAGAAGGAAAACATAAGCAGGGACAGAAAGGACCTGAAACAGATCCTCTGTCCCAACAGGCTTCAGGATGCTCCCAAGGCCCCCTTCCTAGCCTTAAGAAGTGATGTTCATTACAACTGAAGCTTAGGGCAAACACAGATGATATGGGAAAGGTTTCCCAGGTGCTGAATATTATTGTCAGTAGAGGAACGCTGCACATGCTAAAAAACAAGAAAATACAGAAGCTGTGCATTTCACCCAAACATAAACTAAAGCAGGCACTAACAGCAAATTCTACTGGGAGAGTTGTTTTAACTCTTTCAGCTGCAGTAGTACAAAGCAGAGTCGTCATTTTTTTCAAGGCACTGACTTAAACATTGCACAGCTGAACCATCCCAGGACTTCTCAACTAAAGAACTCCCCAGCCAAGCTCTGTATCAGCCTCCCAGACAAACTGAGTTACTGTGAAACTTGGGCAATCTCTCAGTCCCTCAAGCTGCACCGTATCTTCACAGTAGGTACTTACTGAGTGCAGTTGGACAGTGGCCAGAGCCCACATTAGTTCTGCTGTGAAGGCAGGTCAAATTTGTGACATTATCTGCATAATCCTAAATATTACATGAAAAAAATGATAGCAGACATACAACACTCCTCAATCTACAGAATAACTATTAAAAAAAAATGAAAGCTTAAAGATGTCTTAGCAGTTTCAAGCAGTGCTCAAGTCTCTGCTGTTTAAACAAGATAAAAACACAGGAATATGTATTTCTTTCTTAACATCGAGGGCTCAGACAAATAGCTTCATATTTAACAAAATAAGTGGACATCTTCACTGACACCTCTAGTATAAGATACTCAAGATATCCTCTAGCATTTGTTTTCCTTAGAAGATCAGGTATCCTAATCAGCAACATTGTCACCACTTCTCAGGTGAGGCTTCCCCTTTTTCCTGTTACCTCTGTTGGTGGTTCTCATCAGAAGGCCATGGATGTCTATTTGCAGACAGGTTCAGGATAACTTCCTTTGGGAAGTTTTGTGTAAACAAATCCTCATGCCACTCTGAACAAAGTCGCTCATGTGCATCACCTTTACGTGATTCAAGTTTGCTGCAGACATGCTGTTGGGTCTCAGATTTGTCTTTCAACAAAAACAGTGCCTCCAGAAAGCTCATTCTTTTGTGGTTTTCACCATCATTTCTGTAGGTTTCTGAGAAATTTCTGCTACCAGAGCGTATACTATTGCATGACAGTAAGCAACAAGTTCCAAACCATGAAAGACAATGCATGATATGGAAACAACTTTCATTCCTTGAGACATTCATTTTGAGACAAGTAAGAAAAGAGCACAGACTATTCATTCTTTTTTGACACAGCATTAGTCATGGCATTCGATACTATCAAATTAAGACAGACCACAATTTCACTCCTTCTCAGTCTTACAACTTTTCCATCACAAAAGAAAACAACTTGAAGAGCTTGGTGAAGCATGTTGGAAGAAGGGAAATAACTCCATGACAAAATAACTTGAGGATAAAAGTTCTACATTAAATTCACATCAGCATGAGACAAAAAAGGCAAAAAAAAAAAAAAAAAAAAAGCTGTCACGTGGTAAATATATTAGATTGCAAGGAAAATTGTTTGTCCTCTGCACGAGGACTTCCCAAACGTGCCTTGCTTTATTTGCTGAGATAGTGCCAGACTTCCACATCACTTAAATAGAAATGAAGTGACAGAAAGCAGCAGACACCATCTCACACACTGAAAAAAAACAAAGCACATTACCTCTCGTTTGTTTCTTCTGGCAACTTTGAGAAATTCCATAAGGATCTGCAGCTGGGCAGCATGGGACTCCTGTAAAATAATAAATAAGGGTGTGCAACTCTTTCATAGTACGAGAAACAAGCATTCATACACAGCATTCATATATTCACTTAGCAAAGAAACAGCTTTCATTCAGAGATGAGGACAAGAAAATGGATTATTAAGGCAGTTTTAAGAACAGTAGTTTTACTTGCCTCACAGGTTTTAAAGATTTTGTTTGGTTCATGACAAGTTTTAACACGAAAGAAGAAACCCTTGTAACAGTTCTTGTTTGTATATTTCTGAAGGCTTACTAAAAAAAAAAAAAAAAAAAGGAAGCATTTATTTTTTTTCCCCTTCTGCTGCACATGAAATTGTTTTTGGAATACCCTTTTTTTTTTTTGCAAACTTGTCTATCCTGGAAGATCGTTAGCATTCACTTCTGCAAATAGCACACTGAAGTATGAAGTACTTCTATGAAAAACATCTCCCAAAACGAACAATTATTATGTAAAAAGACATGACAGCTGCTGAAGATTCTTCCTGAATGGAAGACAAAGTCACTGATGAAACTAAAACATGTATTTCTAGTCTTTCCATAATAAGTTATCTCCATCAAACTTTGGCTTAATAATTACACCCAAATTTGCTAAAACCTTAAAAAGAAGAGGAGAAGGAGGACCGCAAGAGGGAATTAAAAACACTTCAGAATACAGTCCTATAGTTGTATTCCAGTACTCCACAGTTCATTTTCGCAGTCTGCAGAAACATCCGCCACTGAAAGACTGTGAGCATTCAGTCTATAAAGTTCAGGACATCAACACACACAGCCCATTAAGGGCAGAGGGCACAGAAAACATAAGGAGATTAGGATTACAAGGAAATAATTTTCTCCCCTGTAATTTTCTTATTCTCTCCCTACTTCTGTGACTGTAATTAAAAAGTAAAGCAAGTAAACGCAAGAAAAATGCAGTCAAGCATTCTTCAAGTGTAAGAGGATGGCTTTTACTTTGTTTTTTGAAAGTTAAGTACCCTTACAAGATTTTCCTGCTCAGAAGTACTTATAAGCTCAATCACGTTTCTTTGTTTCACATTTCACCCAAGTGACAAACAGGCTTGAGAACAAAGAGGTTTTACTTTGAAGCTAGAAACTATACTCCCACCCTGTCATCACCAAACAACAGCGAAAGAGTTAGGTACAAAACTTCACCCCCATGCCCCAAGAGAGGGCCGTAATCTGGCTCGAATAAATATTTTTTGTGTTACTCCCCCACTATCAGAGGCACAGACTGAGTAAATATTGATTCTACAGGAATAAGATACACAATTTCCAATACAACTTTTCCTCACCATTTCAATCCTACTCAGACTTCCCTTGTCCAAAGTTTGTAACCCAGTTTAATTTAGAAGATCTAGCTCTTGTAACTGAAAATGGTCATCTGAAACCAATGGCATGGAATGGCTACATACCTAACTTTCCCAAACCAATGACATCGCTGATCAATCACAGGAACAGCTTGCTTTGCTCTGCACAGATCTTCAAACTGTCTTAATATATATAAAGGCACAAAAAAAAAACCAACCACTTACTGCTTCTAATTGCTTCTTCTTTTGTACCAGCAGCTCCAGCATCAGGTTGACATTAGCCAAGTCAAGATTGTCTTGATCAGTTCCCAACAAATCTTGAATTATCTGCCACCTGTGGCCATTCTAGAAAGAAAATGAGAGACATTGGACAGAAGGTTCAAGAAATTCAGGGCTATATCCAGCAACAAGTACCTAAACTGCACTATTTCATCCCCTTGTAAAAAATTTCAGAGCAGTTTTTGGAAATCAAAATCCCCAGCTCTCCCACATGTGCAGGAAATAGCTCTTCTGTCCCACTGCTCTGTGTAACTGCTTATCTCGTTTGGAAGATATTTTGAGAATCCGTGCTTTATGAGAATACTGCTACTGCTAGGAAAAGATTATTACACAGCCACAGTTTTATTTGATTTGTGCCCTAGTTTTTGAGAACATATTTCTACGGGGAGGAAAAGAAAGCATGTTTATGGAAACTCAGTTGAATTATATCTACCTGAAATATTGTTAAGTGGCAATACCTTTCAATTTTTTTTAACCAAGGAATACGTAAAGCCTTTATGCTAAATACAAATGGAAGAAAGTAGCATCAGCCCATTTCTTTTATGCCCCCCCCTGCCCACACTATTCCTCTTAAGTGTATTTTCATGGGAAACACAAGAGCAGGAAAGAAGATGGAGCCCAGCAGGCTGATCTTTTCATCCAACTTGTTAGAGCTGAAAAGGACTCCTTGGAGAGCAAGCACTCTACTGTACAGCCCAGACTCCCTTCCCTAAAGGTTGTTTGCCCTTCTTATCCTCAGTAAAGTTAGGCATAAAAAGTACCTTTCAGAAGAGAAAAAGCTGAATTACATGTTAACACCAGCATAGCTTTACATTAGGAAGACTCAGGATGCAGCTGAAAGGTATTTGGGCCTCCTAATACCCAGAGCTGGATCAAAAACCTTGTCCTCAAAAGCTATGACACTAAATCAAGATATTTAGGTTTGTAAGAACTAGAAGTGCCTTCCAATCTAAAGCAGACATTTTCTAAGAAGCTATAGAGTATTTGTATTGGCTACATTAAGACAAATAATGTAACATCCATATAGAACATTATTCCTTTTTACACAACACTTAAAACCTGTGGGAACAGCACAGACAAAAATCTCAATTTCAATCTGGAACAACTAGAAAAAAAATACATGTATAACTTCAAATCAAGTCAATATGCTTATAGAGAAATTTTAAATAATACAACCTAGAATAAATTTCAGGGTGTACTTTTACTCTTCTAAGAATGGAAAGAAAGAACAAGCACCAGATTCATGAAAAAGAGAAGTTAACAGTGAACTTGCTGAACTACTGAAGATTTTTATTTATTTAATATTTTGAAAGGACAAAAAAAGAGACAAAATATTAACCTGAAAATTATTAACCTGGAAATAAATTCCTTCCAGAAACAGAAAGTAATTGGAACACCGTTCAAAGGCTCGTCAGGCTCATTAGGTAAGGAGAAAGAGGTATTTGAGTAAAATGAGATGTACAGAGAAAGAAGGACTCATATTTGCAGATATCAGATTCTAGAACTGCACTTTCAGTATGGACAAGAATGCTGTAGATTTGTTAATGCTACACACAATGTGAATCTTGCCTTAGCCACCACTGAAGGGACCAGAAAACTGTCCTTACGTACTGGTGCTATTACTTAATGGATTCTACTAAATGATTTAGAAAGTTTCAGAGATCCCTTAATGTGGTTTCTTCAATTAACGAGACAAATCCACTGCCAAGAAACGGCACTCAGCACAGGATTCATTTGCCGTAACATGTCTCAACTTCCTTTATTACATTTGATGTTAAGAGAACAGGCACATTAAGCAACACATGCAGCATCAAGGCTTCTTGTTTTAGAAGACGTGGTATTTTTGTTTGCTGGCAAAAACATAATAGCGTTTTTGGAGTAAGGTCATAGTTGATTTTCCACTTACTCACAGTTATCTAACATAGAAGCATCCACAAGTATAGTTTTAATGGTGCACTGTGAGAAAGCAGAATTGATTTCCAAAAAGCTGCTGCACATTCCTTCAGGTTAGCTGTATGAATTTTAAAGCTAGGTATTAAATCCCTTCCATTTTATCTTCAGTAGAAAATGGGTGGTAAGTAAGCCAATGAATCTTGAAAGCGTACTCTTTTCTGAAGCATATTGGTGCTGGAAGCATTGTTTTCTACAGTGTAACCCCTAAATTAATAAGACTTCAATAGAGATTTCTTTTTTTTTTTTTTTTTTTTTTTTTTTAACTGAACATATTTATTTTGCATCCTTATTTACGAGTTACAGAAGCCAAGGAAGGAAACTGAAGAACTAAGACAAATATTATGCAAGTTTTCTGATTAATATCATGTACTGCTCTGAAATGTACAAAAGCATCCACTGCTACAGTAGAGGGATTTCCTCTAGAGAACACAGCTCAGCCTAAATTGAACTCTGATTCCACAACATGAACAAAGTCTACAAGAGAACCAGGCAGTTGTATCTGGGATCAGAGCCAGTACAGCAGTACTCCAAACACATCTTTCTCCCTCTTGTGGTTAGTATTATCCTTCCTTCAATTTCTTTTTAGAACCTAACCTCTCACACATGATCAGACAAGCCTCTATTACTTATTAGTCTTAATGTAGTAGCCATTTCCAGCACTGAATAAAGATGGTTACCTTTAAATAAGTGTGTTTTCACTGGTAGTTTCGCAGGTTATACTCAGTACATTTCATGACATACAGTGCCACTGATGTTGGTGTTATTCTCCCACAGAGCATATTAAAACACCAGCTTGATGATATATTCTCTAACAAATTAAGCCCCATAATGACAATTGTTGTACAGAATATTTAAATAAATATAAAGTAAGAAAGGTTGAACATACGGTGCTACTCACTGAATGGTCCAGTTTGAATCGTTTCTCCTCAGATCTCTGTTTTTGTTTAAGAATAAGTTCATTAACTGGGGAAAAAAAAAAAAGAACAAAAACAAAAAACAGGTATCAGAAGAGAGATTTAAGAACTCAAAATATGAGAAAATCCATCCCAATTTTTATTTTCAATTACACAGACAGTTTACTAACAACTAAAACAATATGAAGTTACAGACATTTTTCTCTAATCAACTTACTATCTGGACAATCTTCTGCAAAGGGTATAAAGACACATAAGAAGTCATCAGCAAATATAATGCCTACACATTAACAAAATTGCTCCAGTTCATTTTTCTAAGCACCAGTGTATCTGTCTTGGAACTGAAAAACACATCACAGAAGAGTCTGAAGGAGACAAAACATCAACAGGTTTACTACAGGCCAAGAACAAGTGCAGCCAAACAAAAACTTTCTCCTTCATATCACTCTGTTCATTGCTTAACATATTTTATTTCACACCAGTATTGTAAAGAGACAGAAGTAAGCTCACCACTCTCCCATACACACACTTCTTTTTCTCCCAAAGCAGACCCCTTAACTGTAAGTGTACAGAAACAATGCTTCAGCCTAACATACCCTCCACAACTTGCCTTAGCACCACCTTCAGCACAGCATGCTTGGGGCTAAGTCAGGGTGCCTGTTTCTGAAACATCTGTTGGCTACTGTGGCTCAGAGGCTATTACTAAATGAATACCCCAGCTATGAAATCAAGATTGGTTCTATTTCGATATTTCATACTCCAACATGTTGCCCTCGGATCTTTTCTCCTTGTAACACAGTATTTAACTATTCCCCTTCTTTGTTTCTGCAGCAATCAAGTAGCACTGTGTATACAAATATTTTCTGCATGTAATTTAGACACAAAGATGCATCACATGAGCCACACTGTGGCAGTCAAAGTAGCACCATTCAGCCTCCCCACATCAGCATCTGCACTTCAGAAACAGCGCAAGTTCTTGGTTATTAAACAAATGACAGCACAAGAAATCAGAAGTAATTATAGAGATTGAAATCTCTACTCACCATAAAACATCATCATCTCGCTGCTGTTCGCATGCTATAAAAAGCAAATCACAGTCTTGCTGCCATAACTCAGCATACAGAACTGCTGGAGGCAGTGGAGTATTAACAATTTATACTACCAGCCACGTGTATTTATTTATTTTAAAACGCAGTTGACCAAAGGGCTGATGCTTGGACTTCATTTTCAATCTCTGCACGTGGGTTATTTATAGGATGAATTTACAAGTACGTATCTCCCATCACAACAAAGATGTTACTTACACAAACAAACCTAGAGCTCACCTAAGAAGTTGGGATAAAGATGATCTATGTTGTCCACAACATAATTACATTTGGGACATCTGTTGTTGTCTTCCAAGCTCTGGTGAATACATTTGTAGCTATTAAAAAAAAAAAGAAAGAAAATAGAAGAAGAGAATAAACAGAAAATAAAAAGGTACACAAGCACAAAGGAAATCGTATAAACCTTGGATAACGTGTACTTCCTTTGGATGGCTAGTTAACAGCTGCATTGCCAAGATGCTACAGTGGAGTCAAGGCATTCCAGTATTGACAAAGGGCAGGCTACAGCAAAAACTGGAGTTGGCAAGGATTACAAAATTGTGTTTAAGTACTTCACTCATTTATTTCAGTAAGAATTGTGACAACGTGGCTACTTCAGTCATGCTTGTGTCTTGAATTCATGCTCCTTTTCCACAGCTAGAGCAGGCAGATGAGCTGCATTATTCAGAAGCAACTTTTTTACATCAGCCAAATACTTTGCAAGTGACACTGAAAGCTACTGCACATTCAGATAATACTGCACAGACCTCTAAAAGAGTCTCACATTTCTCCCCCCACCTCCCAGTGGTTGTTCTTAATGCAAGGCACTCTGAAGGTGCTGTGATAAACTAGTTAGCTATTTGAGGGATGGACTAAAAAGATGCACTTCAGCACAGAGCTAAAGAACCTCACTCCCTACCAAGCTTCAAGTCAACTGAAGAAAGAAACATCCAATGATGCATCATTGCTCTCTTGTACCTAAATAATTGTACTCTAATGCCTTTCATCTTGGACTTCTTAAAAAGAATCCCAGTGATCTGTAATGAAGCGTTATGTACAAAGCACAGAGTCAAGTGTTACCTTACCTGTATGCAGGACAAAACATAGCCTAAAAGCTAACAGAATCTGCTTCTTAAGGTGATTGTTTTATGCTCCTAAAATACTACTAGTAAAAAGTAGGAGATTATTTTTCTATTTAACAGGCACTGTAAGAGTGTAGTACACACCAGACATTAAAACCTCATGGGCCAACACTTATTCCAATCCTTAGCTGAAGCCAGGGAAGCAGGCAACTCCAAACCTGCACCTGGAGGGTTCTTGTCCTTCAAACATTTGCTGCTTGTGAAAGCCTGGGATAACACACTGAAAAATACATGAACCTCAAGCCAATCTGATGTAACAGCTTCCTAGTAAGCATTTTGCAAAGAGAAAAATATAAAGGAGTGAATAAAGAAGCAAGCCTGAAGCATACCCTCTCTCTTAGGTTCAGCAGAATTGCAACAGATAATGTGAAGGCCTCTTCAAATTGTGTAAGGTCTCGCCAAAAAGCAAAGAGGGCCTGCCAACACCAACACTGGCTTTCATGACCTTTATAACAGCAACACCCACTGCATTAGATGGCAGTAGAAAAAAACCTTTTCATTTCCAACAGAAACAGCTCTGACCCTGGACATGGAGTGCTACCAACAGTTTACAACCATTTTTTTCTTTACACAGAAATATGGTAGCATTAAGCTTCATTATAAATACTTAGGAGAATTTTTTAGTCTAACTGGTGGTAACCACCTCTTAAAACTTGATTTCAATGTCTTCAATGTAAGGCCAGAAAACAGAAGGAACAACTCACAAGGAAAGTGATCCACAGCAATGTTAGGTCTCAAGCACCATACAGGATGGATGATCTGTGCAATACAAAGATCTTACCAGAAGCTGTGTCCACATTTTGTCATGTAGGCTTCTTCAATCATATCAAAGCAGATGGGACTGAAAAAAGAAAAAACAACCCAGTTATGTTTTTCTAAAGTATTATTAATCTGAAGCAGCCACACAAACAAGTGTAATCTTTTATGTTTGTAAAATAGAAAAGAACAGGAAAAAAAAGCGCAACAGCAACTCGACAGTATAAAGATCAAAAGGGCAATCAACAGTTCTTTGAACTCTGAGCAATACTGCAGCTTGCTACAACTGGAAACCAGGTACGTGTTCACCCTTGAAGCTTTCAACAGTTGTAAACCACTCAAAGCCAGAGCACCAATGACAAGCAAAGAACCTCCTGGCCAATTCAAGCTGACCTTAGACTATTTTTAACATAAGTTATGTCTAGGTGACACCAAGATCAGTTTTTAATTCTGTTTTTTTCAGCCAACAGCTAGGCACAATTAAAAGAAATGACTCAATAGTGATGGTATGAGAATCAGCTGTAATAAACTTGAGGCACAGGTGCCAGTGAGGGCTGTGCCCTGCAGCGCACACCAGACAGCAGGCAGAGCAGGAGGACACCTGGAGTTACATACTGCAACAAGTGGAAACCAACAGACCAGCAGTGTTCAGAGTCACAGGAGAAAACAGAAGAGAGGATGTGGGAACCCAAATTAGGAAAACAGGATAATGCAGCCAGACACCAAAGCTTCAGCTCTTTCCAGAACTATTTCTCAACCAACACAAGCACAGCACTCAGAGCAAGACACGCAGCCAGGCAGTGCTCACAGAGCCTGGGGCAGGCAGGAGGTAAAGGGATCTACTGAGATGGCAATACAGGGTATCAGCCTCCTCGACAAGTGGCTGCAATGGATTTGGAAGGGAAAAGGAAGATAAACAAAAGCAGAAGAGCTGCACTTGACTCCCAGTGCCTGCTATAATTTGCTGCTAGTGATGGTTAGTATGACACGCTATCACATAATGCCTTCAGAATTTGATCAGCTATCTAGCAAGGTGCTGTGGACAACAGAATCATAACTTTCTATGCAACACATGCAGCGGATGTGCCACAAGCTACATCTTGCTTTCAAGCCCAGAGATTCCAATGCTATCCTCACATTCCTGCTAGTCCATACAAACCTGCACTCGGAGAGAAGTTAACCAGCAGCTGCTTTCTTCACAAGCAGCCCCCCCTTAGGAGATGCATTCTCATAGAATCACCTGTTAAAAAACTGCTAACAGCCTTTGCTGTTTACACAACTCTTTTCTGAATTTAAGATGAAAGCATTTGATATCAGACCAAACATGCAATGCCTAGCTAAGCAGGCTCTATTTTGCCACAATTTCTCCCCTAGAGACTGAAAAAGATATCACAGCAGTCATTCCCCACATCCCACCACTCTTTTCAGAGGATACTTTTATCTAGGACCCACTGAGCATTTAAAAGGAGGAGCAGCATCTTTTAAAATATCTTTTAAGCCCATAGAGAGTGGAAGCCATGGCCACTGCAAACTAAATCCCCCTCGAAGTGACCAAATTGGGAAGGATGGATGCCTTTAAGTTTGTTCAACCTGATACACAGACTAGGTTGTCTTAAACACCCCAGAAAATCTGCTACATGAACACAACTTAACTGTGAGCTAAGCAGAACATTATTCTTTGCATCACTGCAAGAATAAAGATGCAACTTAAGTAACTAACTGGCACCTGCTCCTCTTGTGCCCCAGCAGATCCCTTACTGTGAATCAGTCGTCCCAAGCTGCACCACATGAGGCATTAAGGTCACTTGTTTCTAAAACAGGAGCAACTTAGTTTCAAGGCACTTTTTAGTCAGAATAAGTTTTCAACAAACTTGGCCAACAAGGATGTATGAACGAGAGGAAAGAATTAAAAAAAAAAAAAAAATCAAGCATCCCTTAGGGGCTAGCTAACAGAATACAAAGAGAGTCAAAAACCTGTGGTTACAGAGACAGAGGATTAAGGTCTCTGAGGCTGGTCTCTCCCCACTGGTGATGAAGAGTTTCATTACCTTGCTGCCCCCTGGTAAGCCATATAACATGGCATTATTTGGAGACAAGGGCTAAAAAACTGCTGTTTTGCGCAGCATCAGATGCATTTTCTCTGGTACGCTCCTAGCAATAAGTACAGGAAACAACAAAGCTGCAAGGCTCTTCTGTCTGCAGCAAGACATCAGAAATTAGAGCTAAAGGAGGAATACACCCTCCTGACATGACAGCTATCCAAGACCATTGTTTCCCAACTTATTCTTCTTCATACCAGTTTGACTGGAGAAGTGACAGAGCTAAAACAGCTGAGAAAAAGCAAACAGAGCCTGCAAAAATAGCCACTCAGCTCCAGTGTCATTCTCAACAGAGCCTGAAGTTTCCACTCAGAACCATTTCTCAACCCAGATACTCAGTGACTTACAAAGGGAAACAAGATTGATGTCTTTGATACTTATCAAAGCCAAGCTAGCTGTAACCCATAGAAGTTGCTGTGCACCAGTTGTTTTATGTTAGCCTAACAGAGAGAAAGTTAAGAAATGAGCAGAGGCATGAGACAGGAACTTGAGTCTCATTGCAGCTTGCAGCACTCACTGAAGCACAGGGCATGGTGAAACTAAGGCCCCTACACTTGAGGTAGCTCCCATTCGCTGTTTGATGGACTCAAGAAGCAGAGTCATGTAAAAAAGGTGCAGATTACTCCAGAAAGCCACCAGTTTCACTGCTCTTTACCAGATAACGATACCCTATTGACTAAATTACCTGCCCTACACTTTCTAAACCACAAAGGCTTATCTGTGCATCTGGTTGAAGCAGTCATTATAAAACTCAAGCACATTCCGTATTTCCTTCTGTTCCACAGCAAAGCACACCTGCTAAAGTTTCTTCCTCCTACTCCATTCTTCTGGGATCTAAGAGAGCAGCACTGGCTACGGGCTCTGAATGGTCAAGCTCTGTGTAAACAATAAAGATCACTGCCGTCAAGTATCTGCTTGATACAAAGCTCAAACAGCAGATCACAAGAATACAAACAACTATACTTACACATGTCATCATTAACATGGAAACACCTAAAGAAAGAACTGGTTTTAAAGACCTACAAGCCTACCTTTAAACGTAGCAAGCAGAGCTTCCCACGCCCAAGTTAGCTGGGCGTACCTCTGTATGCAATATACTCTTTTCCATATGCTCTTATTTTATGTCAGAGCTCAAACAAGCACTGAAATGAAGCAGCCACTGAAAAGTCAGCCTGCAGTTCAGACCACCCCCCTCCCCCCGATTTGGGAAGCAAAACAACTGGCAACTGGTTTTAGAAAGTTTTAGTCAACCATTAATTGGGAGGGTTAAGGTAAGGCCTGGGAAAACCATAGGCAATTACACTGCTACAGAGGAGGAAATCCTCCAATTAGAGGATTCCCTTTCAGACACTCCTGAGGCAACTGGAAAGAGTCTCGGCTACACAAGCAATACCAAGTCTGTCTTTAAATTCTACATCCTACACCAAGAGGAACAAGAAGTTTCCCCTATCACCATAAAGGTGTCTAGTAAGTCACACATATGTGCTTTCCTGGTCTGGCGTAACGCATTTCCAGGCAGAAGCTGAAAAGTACTACAAACAGTACCTATTTGCAAACCCCTGAGCTCAAGATTTCACAACCCAGACTAGCAGCGTATGCCAGCATTTGCATTAAAGCCTCAGCCTCACATTTCTGAGAGCACGTTTTTGGAAGACTGAGAGGCTGTGCACTTAGGCTACCAACAGGATTTTCACAAAGAAGTTCAGGTGAGTTGTGTACCTGAAAGCCCTTCTTCCAGCTTCAGTTTGGTATAGGCAGGATCTGATGCCAAATCTCCAGCTGCATCTAACAGTAACTCACAATCCATATGCAGGAAGATCATTGAACGACCCCTGCATCTGGCAGAGTCTTGAAAGCATCCTTGGAAAAGCTGCATATTGAAGCTCTCTCTTCTCAGACTAAAATAGCCAAAGCTTGTTTAAACCAATTCTTCGAACCTGAACAGACACCTTTCTTGTTGGATGTTACTCAAAGTTGCCAGTTGAGTTTTCACTTCTGTATTGCATAACTGTACTGCTACTTCAAGAAAAGAGATGAGTGCTATAATTCAAACCTATTGTTAATAGCAGGTGCTACAGCCCACTGACATACATGGCAGTGAAGAACCCAGGTAAGTTACTATAATTATTACTTGCTCTTAAAGCTTCTGACCTATAGTTAAGTAGACCCAGCGTGGCTCTCCTTTAAAGTACAGAAGGGCAGTAAAGGCATTTTGCCTTAATTACTGCTCAGCTGACTTTTTTTTCCCCCCTTCTTACTTACTCAGCCAGCAGTATTCCTGAATGAGGAGAAAACAATTAATTACTCTCCTTGCAGCACTTACCTGCAGGCAAAAAAAAAAAAAATAGCAGCATGCAACTCTGCTTTTTGAATGGACTCAAAGCACTCAAATTGTCCTACAAACATAATGGTAAGGATTTGACGTCCCTTGCTTTCAGCAACCTTATTCCTATGACTCGCAACAAAGCATAAACTGACTGGACAGGGATGGGAAGTGATGGCTGTAGACCACACCATAACAAATATACAAGGGCATTCATCATCACATCACTTACCATAACCAGAAAAAAAGTAGCAAAGCAACTAAGCAGCTATTTCCCCAAACAAGTACCCTTAAACCCACTTCACATGGCCCATGCTCAGACAGAGCACACCAGCCAATAGCAGCTGTCTGCTCACCCCAATTCCACTACAGAGCAAACCTACAGCGACAGGTAATGACCAAAAATTACTTCCATTACTAGCAAGAAGTTGTTGCTGTTTTTCCTGCCTCCAACTTCTCAGCAGCTTCACTTAAGTAACAAGGATACTTCCCATCTACCCTGACAGTTTAAGATCAAGTCCATGGGGCTTTGCTACGACACATGTCCTGCAGATACAAACATCCAATCCTCCCCTGTAAGTCAGCAGTCAGACAGGGCCACCTTGGCAGCTGCAGTCCACTTTCTTTTCCTCTTGTACTTCCAGCCGATGACTTTCCTACAGCTCACGCTTGTTTCTGGTTTCTTCTCAATATCAGCTGAGAGCACTCACCCTACCATTCTGTTCTCACATTTTAGTACATCCACCCAGCCATAAACACCAAACCTCCTCCTAATGTTTGAAGATTTGAAACCCACAACCTGTCTTTAAACTGAGAATTACCACCAGCTCCCACAGCAGACACAGCACCGGGCCTTGTTCTTCCACATCTGCTGGATGGGTATTTTCAGCTACAAGCAGCAACCCTGGCTGAACATCAGAAGGATGACATGTGGGGAGGTTCAAGGAAGAAAGCTTTTCTCATCACTGCAGAAGTTCTGAACATTAGAAGGACAACATATGTAGAGGATTAAGGAAAAAAATGTTTCTCATCATCGCAAAAGTTCCCTACTTATCTGGGGTTAGGTGCTGGACTGACACAAACACTTACCTCCAACTAACAGAGGAAGGCCCACATCAATTTCGCTGGATTTATAGTGACCCAAAAATAATAAAAGCGATGGCCAAGGGGACACAGAATCATAGGGGTTGGTTGGAAGGGACTTCTGCTAAAGCAGGTTCCCTACAATAGGTAACACAGTGCTCAAGTGGCCTTAAATATTCTCAGAGAAGGGAACTCCACCACCACCCTGGGCAGCCTGTTCCACTGCTCTGCCACCTGCATAGTAAGGAAATACAGGACTTCAGGGGCTGGAAGGGAACTCTAGAGACCATCTAGTCCAACCCCCTGCCAAAGTAGGCTCCCTAGACCAGGTTGCACAGGTACTAAAGACCAAAGTGAATGCGTGTCTCCACAGGAGACTCCACAACCTTCCTGGGCAGCCCGTTCCAGTGCTCTGTCGCCCTTACCGTGAAGTTCTTATTCACATTTGTGTGGAACTTTCTATGCTCCAGTTCGTGGTCATTTCCCCTTGTCCTGTCATGACACAGCACTGAAGAGAGCCTGGTGCATACCACATCTTAGACATTTATACAGATTGATCAGATCCCCATAGAACTTCTACCTCACTTTACTATGAAACTCCCTATCTTGCAACCCGTGCCCACCGTCCCTCATTCTGTTGCTGGGCAGCACCAAAAGATGCCGGTCCAAGTCGCATGGTTAAACAGCCACGAGTTCAGCTTTCCCTCACCAGGGAGATGTTCCAGGCCCCTAACAGAGGGATTTCTGAAACTCCTTACAGCCCCCGCGCAGCAACCAAACAAGTAAGCAACAGAACCACGGGACCGGCTGCGGGATCCTCCAGCTGAGCAGTGGGAACGGAACGGCGGGAGCGCTCTGTGAGAGCGGGGGAGACCGCGGGAAGGGCCGAGGGCCGCCTCGAGAGGCCTCGCTCCCCCTCCATCCCCGCACTCACCACACAAAGTCGTTGCTCTTGTCCTCGTAGGAGTTGAGCAGCCCGTTGCAGAGCGGGGTGAGCAGCGGCCTCTTCCTGCCCCCTCCTCCCGCCCCGCCGCCACCAGACGAGCCGCCGCCGCCGGGCCGCGCCGCCGCCGCCAGCCGGGCCAACCCCGCGCCCGCCGCCGCCGCTGCGCCCG